GTTCCATGAGTAGAATTCAGATTACTATGCTTGTTTGCTCAGTGAGTGCCATGACCAGCTGAGCCATCCCACTGAGCCTCTATCCATCTTCCTCCCTCCCTCCCTCCCTCCCTCCTTCCTTTCCTTTTTTCCTTCTTCCCTCCCTCTTTCTTCCCTCTTTCTTCCCTCCCTCCCCCCCTCCCTCCCTCCCTCCCTTTCCTCACTATGTAGCTCTGACTGGCCTAGAATTCAGAAATCCATGCTCCATGTCATCTTTACTTTTTGCAACAGGATCTCATCTATTTGACAGGACCTGCCAATGGGCACTAGGGATCTGCCCGTCCTATGCCTGGTACTGGGGTTACAGATGTGGCCAGGCTTGTATGTGGGTCCTGGGCTCCAAGCTCAGGGCCTCATGCTCATGAAGTGGGCACTTAACTGACTGAGCCATCTCCTAAGCCTGCTCAAAGGCAAGTGTTTGCTTGTTAGAAGATTACACATTCCCAGGGCTGCAGAGGAAACAGCATGGCTTGATGGCAGAGGGAAAGATGGTAGACTAATTCAGGCTTGCTAGTAAAGTTTTCTTCTGTTGCCATTTTCAATTTTATTTTTTAAGTTACCATAAAGGTGTTAGATCTGATTGTGGCAGCAAATGCAATTTTTATTGTCAAGAAGAAAAAAAGTCCATGGGCTAAAATGCTTCTAAAAACTATGCTACATACCTATTTGTTATTTTGGTACTTTTATTTTCTTTGTGCCAATTTAATAAATTTCAATTAAGTTACCTAAACAAACTTCTGCCAGAAGCCAAGAGAGGCCCATTAATCTCATCTGTCAACAAGGAACCTAAATTAGGAATTGAAATGTCCTTCTTCAAAGCTACAATCAGGTGGATACAGCAAGCGGTCAGCTCAACCATCTCCTCCAATCTAAACTGGGAGAGGACACTAATGCCTCAAGGTGTTGATTTGTCATGTGACTTCCAGCTGTGTCTTGTGCAACCTGAACTCAAGTCATATAAGAATATTCTTGTTAGAGCCATGGTTCTCACCTTCCTATTGTTATCTTTTAATACAGATCCCCAGCCATAAAATTATTTTCTATGCTACTTCATAACTAATTTTGCTGTTATGAATTGTAATATAAATCTCTGGCATGCAAGATAGTCATAGGTGACACCTGTGAAAAGGGCACTTGAACCCAAAGTGGTCACAACCCACAGGTTAAGAAGCACTGGGTTTGAGGGTCAGAATTTCTCTCAAGAAAATTGATGGAGATTTTAGTAAAGCAAACCTTTTTGTCTCCTTAGATTGCTTTGGAAATGCCTTCAATCCTACTTGATCTGCTAGGATGAAGCAGACTGAAGCACTGGAGAAGGCAGCAGTCGAGCTGATGCAGACTGTTTCTACTGTGTCACTGCTCATACACGTTGGCAGTCAGGGCCAAGCAGGATTTTTCAGGGATATTTTCTTTGTTCTAGCCAACTTTAATCCACTTCTGACTAGCTAACAAGTTACTTGGGGAAAAGAGCTGTGCTGCCCAATTTTATTTAAGTTCTTTGAATTTGTGGGTGAAGTGCTTCCAAGAAGAAATGACAAATGGGTCTCATTTTAGGTCCCCTATTATGAATGACAGGTTAAACAACATTCTTACAATCTTGAGAATATAATGACTACATCTTTAAAAGCCTCTAGGGACTATTGTACATTTAGGAATGAGAGTCAGTAAATTATTTATCTACACATTAATCTCTCTAAAGAGATCTCCAGCCCTTTCAGTTTGAAAGCTCTGCTTCTCAGTCTCCACTTCAGCAACATTGTATCTGAAGGGCCTACATCTGTACAAACATTTCTAATGAAAACACCAAGACAACCCCCAGAGAAGCAAATAGAAAGAGGTGTTAAGTCTAGGGTGGCCTTCCCACTGGTACATTCCTGACACTCGTGGACTCCACCTCCATGCCAAAGGTTATATAACAGCAGCGGCTCTCAACCTTCCTAATGCTTACAACCCCTTCATACAGTTCCTCATGTTGTGCTGACCCCCAACCAGAAAATTACTTCATTGGTATATCATAACTGTAGTTTTGCTACTGTTATGAATCAGAATGCAGCTCTCCGAAATACAGGATATCTGATATACAACCCTCAGAGGGGTCACGACCCAAAGGTTGAGAACCACTGTGTCAGAGGGCTAAGGTTTGCTCTTTGGGTTCCAGAAAAACTCAGGTCCTTAAGCAAGCCGCTTTCCCACTTACCTCAAGATGGATGAATTCCATCTTTGTCTCCCAAGCTCTGGGGATGCAGATGGTCCATCAGTTAAGACTGTTCTAGAGAGGTTGGCAGACAAAGAACATTCTGTCAAGTGTAGGCTCCAAGGTTACAGTTGCAAAGGGACAGACATCAGAGATAGGTTCAAGTCTTCAAGTTCTAAGTAACTGTAGATTTTATTCGAGATTCCAACAAAATCACTTTGTCAGTTAAGAAGACCACCAACCAAAAGGAGTTCTATTTATCCCCAACAAAAAGATACCTCTGCTAATGCTAGCAACTAGTAATATACAGGAAAATTCTCTGGAATTTATGTCTAAAGTCTGAAGTACCTGATACTTTAAAAAGCAGTGCTTTCTTTCTTTTTTCTTTTGTTGTTTTCACTGTTACTTTGGCTTTCTTAAGAACAATGGGTCTTAATACTATACAACAGGAATTTATAATTTTCAGCGTTAGGATTCCTTGAATTTATTTCTAGAGCTCAGGATTTTGTGCCCAGGGGTGCTAAAACCAAGAGCTGGCTTGATGGTGACACTTGGACACAGACTGTCAGTCTGGGAGAAGGCAGACAAAACTTGAGGCCACTAGTTTTCAACTGGTTTGTAAAACAAAGAACATAAGCTTGGCATTTCCAGCATTTTACTCTGTCATCCTGTGGCTTAGGAATCCTGGGCCGTACAACTATTTCCTCACCGAAAGCGACGACTCTACAACTGTTCTGCAGCAACCCCCTACCCTTTAGAAGCCTGTCTTCTGTTTTCTGTATCTTTGACTTTAAAAACATTGGCTCTGCTGTTTTACCCTACCTGGCAAATAGAATCTAATCCCTTGAGTTCAACAAAGAGGTAGCCAGTCACCCACTGTCATAAACCTACCAATCAGGCCAGGGGAACCTGTACTCTAACGGGCAAAACACACACAATCATATCTTTATTCACCCTCCTTTGGACTTAGTAAGTATAGTCAACTTCAGTATCTAAGGATTGTCTCCATGGGTCCAATCTGGACAGATCATGCATGGACTTTTCTTTCATTGTTCACTTCATGATATAGACTAACAACTAGCTACACAGTGCTTAATTGCGGTAAGAAATTTATCTTCTCCCTGCGAGTCGGAGGACATAGAAAGCTGTGCAATGGTTGTATGTGAACACTACACCCCTTTCTACGTGGAACTTGAGTCTTCACAGAGCCTGGCTCCTGGAACCAATCTCCCATGGACAATAAGGAATATGTGTATTCTCTCTCTAAGAACCTACACATGACAAGAACTACATTAGTTCCGGCATATGGCAGAAAATAAGACAGACCTGGTCCCTACCCTCCAGGGACTTACACTTCTGCCTGACTGTGCTTCATATAACCCAGACTCTATAAAGCATGGGAAGTATGTCGTTCTGGTCAACAGCAATGGCTGACACATACCTATGGTCTAGTTCTGGTCTAGTTCAGGATGCTCAATATCACTATCAAGGACATTACCTATTTTGTACTAGTTACTGTCAATATTGAGATGATGGGTAAAAGAATAGTCATGCCTACGTTTAAGCCAGCCTTCTGGATGCTTCTATCAGTTCATCCTCTGAGAATATTTTTACTAAAGGAACTACTTATACAAAATTTACACTTTAGGCTTATTAATTGTTTTGAATTTTAAATATAAAGTTTGGAATTCTCTTATGTGAAATGTCTACATGAGGCAAACTCATAGAGGCAGAACACAGATTAGTGGTTACTTGGGTCAACACAGACAAAAAGGAAGAATACAGGCGTTGTACAGAGGTTTTCTTTGGGAGTAACAAAAGTGTTTTAAACAGTGATGATGCTGGCATAATGTCATAAACACACAAAACCATGGAATTATGTACTTCAAAATGATTTTATGTGGAGCATGAACTTTACCAAGTAAACTTGTGTTAGGGAAACCGACAAGGCAACTCAGAGAATGAAGGTGCTTTCCATATAAGCCTGGTAACTTGAGTTCAATCCCATGTAAAGGCATTGGGAAATTACTGACTCTACACAGTTGTCCTCTGCCACCACACACGCTTCACAGCACACACAGTGTACTGCAGTCCACACACATCATGCAAACATACACTATTACATTTTAAAAGTTTCTTTAAAAAAAAAATCATGTAAGGAAAGCCATATGCAATGGTAGTGAGACCAGAGCTGTGAGGTGGCGAATCCTTCCTGTAAGCTGTAACAGCCAGGTCAGTCTACTCTCTAGTATCTTCAGATGATACACAATTCATACTGGAACAACCCATGAACTCTTATCAGTATCTGACCAGGGCAGTCAGTAGAGAAAATCATATAACCTCCTCCATTTGTACAGAGCCACAGTCCATCCTTAACTCAGCCTACACACCAGTATCTGCATCCCTGGGCAGCCCTGGAAAAGAATTCTCAAAATGCATACAGACACTGTGCTAGCTTGACCTTGCAGACAGCAAAGCCCTCTCCTGCGTCTTCTTTAGAAGTGAAAACACCAGGCTTCGGAGACACACGCACTAGCTGCTGCAGGTGTCCCCACACACTGACAGCTCCTGAACAAATCTCCTATGTGAAGCACCATGCAGGAATGTGCTAGCATATTACTGATGAAGTGAACCATAGTATTTTAGCTTCTTCTCACTTTATGTCGTTTAAAATGTGGTGGAAGAGCCCGGGAAAAACAAACATACAAGAGGAGGGCAGCACCTTAGCCACTCCGTTTAGAAACAAAGAGACCACAGAACTCGAGGATGCACACAGTGAGGATTTTATTTGTCAAATTACAGTAGCTCAAAGATGGCTTTCTCGAAGGCAAAGCACACACACAGTTTAGAAGTCCTTTCCCCTTACTCTAAGGCCCCCTCTAGTGTTTGAAAGCTCCAGGCCTCAAAGGATACAGGAGGAAGAACCAGCCTTGGGCCAGGACCTTCTAAAACAAAAATACTTTTGCTCCATTCATGTCACCCAAAAAATCAGGAACATGTAACCATAATTCATATTTCAAATCCCTGCTATGATTATGTCTCATCACCCTCAAATCTAGCAACCTTTCTGTTACTTACGCTCGGTTGCTTTTCCAAGACAAAGACTTTGCTAGTTAAAGAAAAGAAGCATATGATGCCTATAGAGGTTTTAATTTCACAAACAAGAAATATACTTAATGAGCATTACCATATAACCTGCTTTGCTTGTGTGGAAGTTACTGGTAATTAGTACACACTTGCTGAAGTATACAACTAAACTTGTTTTTTTTGGGAATCAGAATTTTTACTGTCTATGTTTTAAGATGCCTCGTGAACTGAGAGTTTGCTAATTAACCTGTTCAGTGTCACGCAGGGCTAGGGATAAGCGTGCCATGAGGATGGGGTGGTTTGGAGAGCACGGTGCGAAGGAGCTATCTGGAGGTTTACAGATTCCTATTACAGCTGCACTGCCTCTCTCAGGTGCCTCTGAACAGACTGCAGAGGGAGTGGACTAGCTCAGCTTCACTTGCTGTTCTCAGCTAATGTCGCTAGGTGTCTGGTTCCATAGTCTGTCTGAAGCAGTACTGCCATCACTGAGAAACAAAGGCAACCTATAACTTTAACAAGAAGCCTCACACAGCTGTGAGCAGGGGACTGTGATCAGACCAAGCTATTTTCTCATATTCTTAAAATGGAGTCCAGTGAAATTTGGAATTTGATTTGTTTTTAATTTGCATGAACTGTGTTTAAGCAATGACTAATTTGTCAGCCAACATGTCACACAGCTTCTCTGCCTGAGACTGCTTTATTTTCAAAGTTGTCATTTGCAAATACCACAGGTTGAGGGAAAAAGACTGGTCGTATAAATGCTTTTTAAAAAATGGCTATACTTATAATTGGCTTCAACTTGAAGATATCTACAATCAAAGGGAACAGGGCACAGCATTTTTAAAGTGCAATACATTCTCTTTTGGCTCAACATAAAAAATTATATACTGGGAACTACTGTGGCCAGTTCTCCTAGAACAAGTTGTGAAGGGCTGTTTTTAAAGTCAAACAACAGACTTTAAACTGAAGAACACTGAAAAGTCATTTTAAATGAGCATATAAAATACAATTACAAATGAAACCAGCATTGGAGAGGTAGCGTAAGTAAAATCAAATAAATACTATATACAGCAACATACAAAATTCAGCTTATAAAAAATTAAAAAGAGCATTCCAAAGTAGCCATTTTCCTTGCTTTTGAGGATTTTACATAAAAATCAAAATGCAGACCTAGAGTACCTGCAAAGACTTCCCAAATGCTTTAATTGCTGGCACTGTTTTTTGTCAAAACCTCTCTGATCTGCCGGTCGAGTTCACTTATTATGCGGTCCTCGTGGTTATAGACACCCGTTCTCATCAGAGTGTCCCTTTCCTCTATCAGACGTGTCAGGTAGTCATCCAGGCCTTCCTCCAGCCCAGAGCCCCGCGGGCTGGCCAGCTTCCCACTTACAATCTCTCTGCAGTCCTGGGACTGTTTCTGCTCTTGCTGCCTTAACCTGAGAAATGAAGAGCGAATGCCACTGTAGCAGACAAAATACTATTTTGACTCTTAATAGCACTATTTAAAAACAAGACAATTTATAAGTTTTACTAGTTTTTTTTAAGTAAGAAAGCAAAAACCAATAATTACCACCTGATAAACGTGATATATTTATAAAAACACAAGCTGTGTTTGTACTTAAAGAATACATGCAAACGGTAAGGCACAGTACAACAGACCCTTAAGCACAGTGTATGGGAGGGAGAGGCAGGAAGACCACAAATTCCAGGCCAGCTGGGCTGTACAAGACAGTTTCCAACACAAAAGCCAGGGGCAGGACACAGCTCACTCACTATCAGAGGGACAGCACTTGTCTGTCACTTCAAGTCCCTTAGTTCAGTTCCTGTCACTTAAAAAAAAAATTTAAAAAGCACCAAACACAGTAACCGGAAAATGAATATTTTGCTTTAAATTAACATCCACCTTAATTATTATTCATTATAAATATTAGTTATATGTTAAGTATATAAATACTTAATTTTTTTAAAAAGATTTATTTGTTTGCTTATTGGTTGAGACAGGGTTTTTCTGTGTAGCCCAGGCTATCCTAGAACTTACTCTGTAGACCAGGCCAGCAGAGATTCACTTGCCTCTGCCTGCTGAGCGCTGGGATTAAAGTTGTGTGCAGCCACCATCACCCAGCTAGCAATTTATTTTTAATGATATGTAACGTGTGTGGGATGTACACACAAGCTTAGTTGCCATCAGGTGTCCGCACCGTGGCGCTGGAGGGATAGAGTTGTGGGTCACGTGACATAAGTGCTGGGAACCAAACTCGGATCTGCTGGAAGAGCAGCACACATTTTTAAGCACAAGGCTGTCTCTGCAACCCTGAGGTTTCAGTGAAGCCCAATAGGCAGTGCTATGTCTTACTGTTTGACTCTGATCACATCTCCTTTTGCGAGTATTGTGCTGTAAAGCATCTCAGTGCTCCATCAGTTAGACGTGCCATCAGTTAACTAGCCTTTACGGCTTACCTCAAGGTAGTTTAACACAGCATCTCTGCTACTTGAACACAGTATTTTCTTTAAATTTACTCATCTTAGGTCACACGTAGTAAATCAAAAGGGAAAGTGTACCCTGCGAAAGAGTTTGTGTCTCTAATTACTTCTAGTTCCTCTAATTCCTTTGAGGAAAGTACAACTTCTGAACATAGAAGCCTGGCCCAGAGGGCATGAGGTGCAAAGACTTGGGCTGTGTGTCTCTGGGTCATAATTTTGATGAGCTCGTCTGGAGGGAGGGAGCTAGGAGCACATGCTGTTGGGCACTGTGAGGCTGTGGAGAGAGAACATATTCACGCATGCTAACGGAGATGTGAGAGGGCAGAGGCAACCAAGAGACCTGCACGCACTCATGCATTTGGTTTCTGTGTTAGCTGGGACAGCCAGATCTGAATGAGACCATGATCTAACTCACTGTTTCATGGATTCCAAGTTTACAATGTTGCAGACACCAAATAGTTATTGAAAATTCTACCAAAGATTCTGTTGTTAAAGATTTATTTTATGTATATGAGTGCTTAACTGCATGAGGGCATCAGATCATATTACAGATGGTAATGAGCCATGATGTGATTGCTGGGAATTGAACTCAGGACCTCTGGAAGAACAGACAATGCTTTTGACTGATAAGCCATCTCTCTAGCCTCTACCAAAGATTCTTCATACTAAGTTTTTTTATTTTGTTTTTCTTATTGAGCCAGTGTTTCATTGATAGCATTTAATACTTGGAAGTTTGGTTTTGTGAGACTATTTGAGGATAACTGTTAATACTGATTAAAGGTAACTAATAATTAATATATAAGAAATTTCTTATTTAGTTGTTCGTATTAGTAATACAATAACTTTAATTAAGCCCTACTAAACCAGGGATTGTTTTAAATGATTTATATGCCTGTCTTACCTTTTTAAAAAAATTCAAAGCAATTCATTCAGTAAGACTAGAAATGAGATTAGAAATGAGGACAAGATTAAAGAGAAAGACTTCCACACAGCTAATATTATGGACCCTGATCTCACTATGACTCTAGAGATGATTTTGAACCTCAGTGCTCCCCTGCCTTACCTGGAGCATTGTTTTCACCTTAATCCTAACATCAGCTGTTTCATGCTAGGAATCACTAAGCAGTGTATATACACAAAGCTACCACACCCTGCCCTGGGACTCTTTCTGTGGTTTCAACTAACCCATAGTATTCTATGGTCCAAAAGCATTAGATGGAAAATGCCCCCCAGATAAGTAAGTAAGTTCTAAGTTTTAAAGTACATGACCTCTGACTAGTGTGCTGGAGTCTCAGGCTGTCCAGTAGATCTGCCCAGGTCATCAATCAGCCTTTTCCTAATGTGCTTGCTTTCTGCCTGTTAGTCTCAATTGTCTGATGGACTATCACAGCATCTGAGGGCATGTGTTCAAATGACCTGTCACAGTAGCCCACTTATCTATCAGGTCCCATGTCATCACGAGAAGTGGAAGTACAAGGTATTTTGACAGAGGCCCAATGTTCACAGAACTTTTATTACAGTATAGTGTTTAATTTTTTAGTGTTTTATTACAGTATAGTGTTTATTGATTGGTAATTTCTTACTATGTCTAATCTACAATGTTTAAGACTCTGCTATTTGAGTGTATACTGTATAGTTTTTTAGATAGTGATTTTGAAAGGAAAACATTTCACTTCATTTATTCATGGGACAAGCACATTTTTAAGGGCACAGCACACTTAGCAGGCTTGGGCTGCCAGAGCAAAACAGGACAGGCTGCGTAGCTCAAAGAATGAGTTATTCACAGTTCTAGTGGGTCCAAGATAGGGTGCTGGCACAGTCCACCTCTTTCTCTATCCTCACATAAGGAGGGGGAGAAAGTGAGCATGTTCCCTGCTGTCTCTTAGGTAAAAGTAACTTTTATTCACCTGACATAATTATCGTCTCCGATGCTTACTGCCTCCATCTGCTAACCTAGGCCTAGTCCTGGAAACTTCCAGCCTCCGGACAATCTTATCTAGGCCTAGAATGTTTTCAGCCTCTGAGATTACTGCTGAATACGCTCATACTTTCTAGCTCTTTCTGAACTCTTGCTGGCTGGTCAACTCACCTGTTCTGGCTCAAACTCCTCCACACTAACTGATTCAATCTGGCTTCTCCTGTATTGTTTTGTTTGGCCTCAATCTAACTCTGGCAATCTGTTCTTATCTTCTGGCTCCTTCTCATTCTCTGGCTCATTCTGTCTTCAACTGTGTCTAGCTTGTTCTCTCTCTGCAACATGTCTCTGTACAACTGTCCCAGTAAAGCTGTCTCCTCCTTTCTCTGTGTTGCTCTCTCTTAAATAGCTTTCCTTTCCTCTCTCTTCTTATGAGAGGTGGGCATATCCTAGTCTGTCAATCTTTTTCTGATGCATCCCTTTGTCTGCCACTCAGTTACATATCCCTTTACACAGGGGTGCTTCCTTCTACAAACCTTCACTGTTTGAGATCAAAAGTGTGTGCTAAGGGCTGAGCCACACCACAACTAGGAACAGTTTTGTTGTTGTTTTTCTCAGTAAATAATATAATCTCAGGGTTTACAGTGTGATCAAATACCCAGCAGCATTCTTAGACGGGCAGAGTCCCCTTGGGAGGGCTCCACTCTCTCCTGTCAGCTAAGACTCCATCTCCAAATACTATCCCATTTTGGCTTCCACAGGTGGCTTCCAGGGGAGCATGGTCCAGTTTATGCCCACTGTGTATCTATCTGATATTCTATGGTAGCTCCATGAATAAAAATATGTAGTGACAACATAATGTAGGCTCAGAGTCCAACAGTTAAGAGAACCTAGACGTTCCCTGAATGTCAATTGTAAAGGTCATCTCTAGGCTGTGCTTAAGGCTAAATATGTACTATTATTCGCTTCAACAAACACATATTTGATAAATCCAATATTATAAGCTTGGATGCTGCTGTCCTTTAACAAAATAACATGATCCATACCTTCCAAAATGTGCTGCCATATAAAACATTTTAAAGGAGCTGAAGAGATGGCTCCTTTTAAGAGTGGTTAAGTGCACTTGCTGTTCTTCTAGAAGGTCTGAGTTCAACTCTCAACACCCATGTTGGGTGGCTCACAATTGCCTCTAACTCCAGCTCCAGGGAAACCAATATTCATATCTGGTTTACACTGGAACTCACGTACATGGCAGAAACATGCACAAACACAGACATATATATAAATAAAAGTAATAAAAACAAATCTCTATAAAATAAAAACAATTTAAAAAGCAGTACGCTATGTGTTAAATACTATTTTGGTAAGTGAGGATCAATTTTTTAATTTGTCTATCAGATTTGTAGATCATACAAAAATAAATCTTACTTTTTAACATGATTTATATCATATCAATATAGACATGTATATGTGTGTATTTGTCTTACCTATCTTTGATTGATTGGACACTGTACCCTTCTTAGTTTAGGAAAGACCAAATTAAAAGGCTGCACATCCAACCTGTGCTTGTGAGAAAATAAACTGTCTTAAGGACAGTACCTGTTCAGTTCGTTCCTTATATCCAGCAGCTCCTGTTGCTCAGTTCTCACTGTGTCTTTCTCCTCAGCAGCCAGGTAACGCAGCCGCATCTGCTCCAACTCCTCCTGCTGTTTCTTAAGACGAGCCATTTGACTTTCTTGCTCCCTCTTAAAAGAAACAAAGAAGCTGGCATGTACCACTGTGAAAACACCCATTTCATAGGACTTTGACTTAGGGACACAACTCGGGACAGAATGATATGCTGCCAATTCTGGACCAAATGAAATTTAGAAATGCCCAACTTTTCTCCTAATTATCTTTTTTATCTTTCTCTTTTTGATGTCCTAACTCATGAGGACTGAGGTTTGCTGAACAGTTACAGTATAAAAGAATGTGAAGCAGGAACAGCCACTTGCCAACATAAAGAATATCAGAAGGACCTGCATCTACAAGCATCTAGAACCCCCATCTACACACCAATGTGCTGACAAAAATCAACAGTCTCTGATCAATAATCCTAATCAGTTTAACTGATAAAGTTTTCTCTTCTCTAGGCTCATACGAAAATCTAAGTACATAATCTTTAAAAAAAATAAATAAAAATGGGATCAAATGATATACCTTAACTTGCATTTAAAAATTAACAATTCCTCCATAAAAGTAGATAAAAGTTTCTAAAATAAATGTAACAATCTACAGGAGGAAGATATCCCATGCCTTGTAAGAGAGAATCTATCACGACAGTGCTGCAGTAAGACCCTACTATGTAACATGAATCTTCCAAGTTCACCCATGTATTGCTCTACAGACAAGGAGACAGCAGGGCCACAGGTGGCATCTCTGTGTCTGTACTGTCTTACTGTTCCTGACAGGCCTGGAACTCAGACATCACCTGCTTCTGCCTCCCGAGTGCTAGGATTAAAGGTGTGTGCTGCTATGCCCAGCTCATGTATTTTTTTTTAATAAGTAAATTATTTTCTGATTATAGCAAATAAAACACTGGTCAAATACAAGGGATATTTTGCTATATTGTTACAATGTGACCCACTCACATAACTACCATCCGGGTAAAGAAAAAGTTACGGAGTCTGCTTCCCCATCTCCACAGTCACTACCACCCATACTTTCCAAAGGTAACTCTAACACCAGGAGTATGCTGATTGTGCTGAGTTCTGTGTAGCATCGTTAAGTCCAGATTACTCTGGGTTGGGCTTCTTTCTCTAACACTGACTTGAGTCCTTTGTATTGCCCTGTACAGCTGATCACTCACAGTAATGCACAACCTTCCATCAGCTAACACACAGTTTACGCACTGCTGAAGACCACTTGGGCAGCTTCCAACTCCATACTGTAAATACCGCCAATGTTAACATGACTGTGCATGTTCTCTGAACACAATAGGATGCATTTTACCTAGCTCTATACCTGAGACGCAAGCTGCTGGGTCAGAAAGCACAACTGCAGGATTAGAAAATATTGCCAGACTGTGTGCAAGGCAGTCCATCACTGAATGGTTACTGTCAAAGCTCCTGGGCCCTGTATTTTTGAACAACACTTGGTAATTTTCTCCCCCTTTTTTAAACAGTTCTGACATATCACATTGTGGTTTGTCCTGATTTTATTTTGCATCTTTTCCCAAACAACAAGTCTCAATACATTTTAATGACATTTGGATATGCTTATCAGTAAAGTTTTTATGAAAGCTCAAGGCTTTCTTCTCTATATACCTGTTTATCTTTTCTTACTGGTGTCACAATTCAAGATCTCCCATTATTCTTTGTTTCGTCCTTTACCCCATGTGTTTCAGGATGAACAGAAACAGCCCGCATGGCTCCATCAATTCCTTTCTAGCTGGCCTTCTATGCCTTTCATTTTATTTTTAACCCATGTCAGCCTTGAGGATGTTGTTTTAAGTTTATTTTGTGTGTGTGTGTGTGTGTGTGTGTGCACATGCAGCTGGTCATGGAGGCTAGGGCAGGGTGCTGGAACTCCCGAGTTAGAGGCACGCACTGCTGAGGCACCTGATGTGGGTGCTAGGAACCCAACTCCTGCAACAGGATCGAGTGCTCTCTACCACTGGGCGGTTTCTCCAGCCTGGGGATACTTAGATCAGTGTGTGAACTGGCTTTGTGTACAGCGTGAGAACAAGGGCAGTGTTGGCTCCCATGTTTGTAAGGATATCTTGTGCACGACAGGATTAAAGGTATGTACTACCTTGCCCTACTCTCCTTATTGTATTCATGGTACCAAATAACTACCTTGTCTAGTGAGCAACCCAGGGTGTGGCCCTTCCAGGTTTTGGGCCTGTTTGAGACTAACTGGCTAGTTTTGCACTTCTAATTTCCTTATTACTGAATCTATAGACTAATTTTAAGATTTATAACCATGGTTACTATGCTGGTCTATTATTTTAAAAAAATTTTTTTTAAATAGTCTGTGGGGTTAGGGTTATTTCTCCCTATACTGTTTACGTAAATTCGATTATTTGAGTCAGGTATTTTTTGTATATATTATCCACTACAACTGCTGTACAAATACTTTTTAACTTCTGAGTCACTTTAGTAGGTAATCAAACTCACTTATTTGTACCATCCTAGTCTTTTCAAATGCTGGTAGGACCCCAAGTCCTCTCTCCCTTGAATATTCTGATATTTATAGAGGGTGTCTCTCTTCCAAAGACTTCCTCTCAAAGGAACAACTTTTGGTTTTTGTGTGGGTATTCACACATGCTTGCATGTGGAGGCCAGCGGTAAACCTCAGGTGCTCTTCAGGCACCTTGTTTTTTGAGCTCATACTGAGGCTGGGGGCTCACTGATAAGCAGATTTATCTGGTTGGTGTGGGCCAAGGATATCTGTTTGCCTGCCTCTGCCTCCCAGTGCTGGGATTAGCAGCATACACTACCACGCCAGGTTTTTATGTGTTAATGGGGTTCAAACTCAGGTCCTCAGGCAAGGGAGGCACTTGACTGACTGAGCTAGCTCCTGAGCTCTGTCTACAAGATACATTTTTCTTATTTTGTAATGTGGCTATGGTTAAATTCCTTTCTAAGCACAATCCTCCCACCCCAATTTCCTGTACTGATATATTGCATTTTATTATGTTGAGTTCAAAAATTTTCTAATCTCACATGGTGTTGATTTTACAACGGTTATTAGAAGTAAACTACTAAAGAAATGTCCAATGTTGTTAAATTTTATTAATTTACACTTCAGTATCCCTGTGAGCAGGACACATCCTAATGTACAATCTTCTGAAATGTGTCCAAATGTGGTTTAATGTAGTTTCTGCACAATTTGACAAAATATCTTCTGTGTATCAGAAAGTGTGGACTCTTTCAAGGAAGTGTTTCTTCTCTATACACCAGTGGTCACTTACAGGGTTGGTATTGGATAAGCCAGTGGTTATTTGCAGTGTTGGTTCTGGATAAGCCAGTGGTCACTTGCAGTATGTGAATCTTCATTTGTGGTCATGTCATCAGGTCCACATATGCATACAACTGTTTTGGTCTTGTTTAAGTTTTTATACACACCTGTATTGTGTAATGAGTATATCTTCCCTCATTCTATTAATCTGACTCTAACTGTGAAAGCTGCCCCCGGGGATGCTTCCTGAGTCAAGACTTATCGCTATGCTATGACAAATCTACAGAGAAGGTCTGTTCCTTAGAGAGTACACTGTTGGGCTGTTTGGAATGTGGGCTTAGTCATATTTTCTCTATGGAAGCACTTAGCTCAGTTAGTTTTAAAGCAACCTGGAGTGTGTAGATTTCCATCTTTCCTCTGTACCATTTTCTATTCCTTTCATCTGTTTTGTTTCCTTATCTTTTAATCAACTCTTTCATGTCAAATTTCCTTCAGCTTCTTCTGAGATATAAGATGTTTCCTTACAAAACCCAGTATGAGTTAGGACTGTGACAGTCTTACAGAAAGCAAAATATATTTCATATACTTAAACTTTGTTACTTCATATTTGTATTGTTTTGTCATGAATTTTTAATTTATATGCATTTCAAACTTCTCAAATTACATATGTAGTCTCAAACTTTATTTTATTGCATGTGTGTACATGTGCGTATCTGTGTATAGAATCCAGAGGAAGATGCTGGGTGTTGTCTTTTATTGCTTTCCACCTTAAGAAAAATGTTCATCTAACATGGGAGATGTGATCATCTCTCCATCATTTTCTAGAGCTGGGGTGACAGATGCATGTGGACATACCTACCTTTGATAGGTGCCAGGGACTGGGTCTTCATGCTTGCACAGGAAGCTCTCTCCCCAGCCCTCACCTATACGCTCTGCTCTCTTTGCTGCCATTACTAGCCTTATTTTCCCCATTTCAGTCTGAATACTGTTACTAACCTATGTTCTAGTTACCATACCCATTTCCGTAGCTGTTAGTCCATCTTCAGCAAATGAATTTAGTTCTTAATTTCCCTTGCAATACTTCCCAGAATTCCTGAGTCAGGGTATTGTTTGTCTAAGAGTTCCTCCATTGTGTCAATTATTCTCTAGACTACAGGAATCATACAATTTCAGACTTGTTTGATTACTCTAAAATTTACAATACTCCTTGATAGATTTCTATTGAACAAATGACAACCAGGTTTTCCACTGATCAGGATTGCTGTGGCCAATTAGTATATAAAGAGGATGCCAAAAGTCATGAGTGAGCTGGAGAGTGAAAAATTAAAGTCACTAAATAATACTATTTCAACCTTATCAAACTCAGAATTTTAAAACATCTAATAGTAGGCAATCACTGGCAAGACTGTGAAGAACAGAAGCTATTGCGCTAGGGTTTGTGCTGGTTTCTGTGGTCCTGGGCCTTGTGCCATACATACTAGGCAAGTCTCTCCCCAGGCCACACCTGCAGCTCTGTATGAAAAGTAAAATTAGCACAACCATGTCAGGAAATCAGTGAGCAACATTTAGTAAAACTTAAAAAAGAAAGTGAATGTATTCTAGTATCTAAAATTTTATTTTGGGATATAAACATCTGAAAACTGTTACTTGTGTGAGAACTGTTTAGGACTGCCTTACTATAGGGAAAGCTGTAAAAAAGCAGTCTTACTAAAGATTGCATATAAAACCTACATAAGTGTGGTGCACTTTCATGGAATAATACTCCATGTACCTAGAGAGTAAAACATGTGAAAATAAACAATGC